CGATTTCTTTTAAGCTTATATTTTTAAAAAAGAAAAAAAAAAAAGACTTTTTAGTACATATAATTTTCATGTATAAAAGGTAATACAGGTTTATTGTATAAAAATTTTAAAATACAGAAAACTATGAGGAACATAAAAATTGCCTATAACTTCCACCCAGAGTCAACTCTAGGAAACCTTTCCTTTCGGTCAGATAGACCCGGGTCTGAAACCCATCCCTCCCAAGAGTTGTGTGACCCTTGATAGGCCACCTATCATTTTCCTGGAGCTCACTCTGCTGGGTTGCTGTGTGGACTGAATGAGTGCACAGTGCCAGGATGCAATGTGGGTTAGCTGAGATCTGTTGCTCCTATTTCCACTGAAGACATTGCCCTTGGTTTTTACTTCCAGCATCAGTTCTGAGGCAGGAGTCCCCAGGAAATCATCATCACACCACCACCTTCCAGGGTCTTCGCCCTCCAGGCATGTGCTATGAGCACTCCATCTAGGCATTTACGACACTGACGCAAAGACTAGGCAGCGATATCCAGCATAAGCACTCCTCTGGCTCCTCTTACCCTGGTGCTGCTGTGAACAGTGGGGAGTATACATTTGCAGAGAAAATTAGATGTGTCTGTGTCTTCACTCAGCAACCCCCACACCATTATCATTTCCCTCTTCGGATGCAAACTGAGAACTTGGACTTTTCATAGTTACACTGGGCTTGACTTCTTAATGAGAGAGAGAATCCCTCAGGCTTTCTGGGCTTCCATGGCCAGAGTGACTGTATTGATCACCTGAGAATCAAACCCATTTCCTTATTATTGCATATGAAATCAAAACTCCACTTTTCCGATGGTAGGACAAGAGATCCCCTGGAATGTGTTCAGCTTTATCCCGTCTTCAGACAGCAGGCTTGTTGCTGTCCCTGTCTTCCCCAATCTCTCCAGTCCGACTTCTCCCCTCTCTCTCTGCCTGGTGCCTTCCACGTAGGGAAGTAGGGTTTCTTCTCCCAGAGGTCAGAGCAACACCTTGCAGGGAGCAGATGTTCGTGGAACACAGTGACAACCAGCCACCTGTCTTGTTTCCCAGCGCTCCCGCGAGAAGCAGCCCCCACAAGGGCCAGCAGGGTAATCTAGTGCTTGAGTCTTCGTAAGTATTATAAGCTAGCGTGTTTTCTTTCTTCCTTTTTCTCTATAGGGCATGTGTGCTCACTGGAGAGAGACAGGGAAATGGAGGGGTGGTGATGAGAAAGCACCCTTCAGGGTAGATGGCCACGACACAATCCCTTCTTCTCCACTCTACTCTCAGGATTTTTGAGCTTGCATGCACACAATGTGTTTTTCAAGCCACTGGATCTGAGACGAAGTATTTGGTCAGCTATGTAGGATCAAGCAGCCTTAACCACCACGCCCCCCGCTGGCCCACTGTAAGCTTCTCGATGTTGAGATTCCATGCACTCCTGCCAAATTGGCAAAATATAAACCAGCTGCCTAAACCAACTGCCCAGGAGAGCTGGATGAGCTCTAGATATTCGACATATGTCCTTACGAGAGGCATTTCTGCAGCAGAGCTGGAGATCTTCTCATCCTGGGACAGTCTTTCCCGAACTTGCCCGGTAGCAAACAAAGTGAAATGATGAGAATGATGAAAATATATTTTGTTTCCTTCTCTCTGTTCATAGTAATTTGCTGTATTAGAAAATGGTAAAAAACTGAACAGTGTCCTGGACATAGAGTTGCCAAATAGCCCAGAAAACAAAACTATGGAACTTTCTACTATTCGTTGCTTGAAGCTATTTGATTGTAGTAAGAGTCCAACAAGTAGATGAGGTTTATGTTTACAAGTAGTAGATGTTTATTCTCACTTTTGAGTATCCTAAACTGGATGCTGAGAATGAGAAGGGGGAGGAGACAGAGATGAAAGGATTTTGCCTTAGAGAACCTCAGTCCATAGATGGAGAGTCCAGTGCCCCGGAAGTGGTTGACCCTGTGAAGGCACAGAGAGAATCAGGGAAAGCTGCTCGGAAGAGGGGATTATTAAATCAGGTCCTGAGGCATGAGAAACTTACCGAGTATAAAGGCTGGTTTTATTTGACCCTAGGGATGCCCTGCAATAGTATAGTCTCCCTCCCTCTAGTCAGAGTTTGTCTTATATTTCCAAGTCTAAATGGAAATATTTTCTATTCAGATACCTAAAGGTCAAGAGAGTTGCAGATCCAAACAAAGCGTGCTCTCAGGATGGAATTCTGGTCAATTCCTTGGTGTGGACTCCTTTTCCTGTGTGTCCTCCTGTTTCACTTCTTGGATCCCGTCAGCGACTCCTCCACATCTCCTACCCTGTCTTCAAGCCACTCACTCCTTACCACTCTCTGGAGCGCTCAGCTTCCCATTTTTCAGAGCAGAGAGAATGCAGACTCATTGATATTCTCCTTCCACAAGTCTTTGACCTTAACCTCAGTCTATTTCTTCTTCTGTGAGGTGGGCATAATACCTTCCTCACAGGGTTGTCAGAAAGATCAAGTCAAAACAAACCATGTGAATTAGCAACTGCGGGCATGTTTAGGTGAGGGCCTTCCACTAATGATGGTCTGAGGTTTAAGTTCAAGTTGATTTTTTAGTTTCTTTTTGCCTATTGCTATCCAACACAATTTTTTTGAAAAAAAGTATCCTCTTACCACTGAATTGCTTTTGCACCTTTGTCAAAACTCAGTTGACTGTATTTGTCCAATGGTCAAAACCACGCAGTGTTGATTGCTATAGTTATGTAATAATTCTTGATTGAAATCAGATAGACCGATACCTGACATTTAATTCTTTTTTTTATAATCATTTTATTTTATTTATTCATTCATGTATTTTAATTTGATCAGAGAGAGAGACAGAAAGAGAGAGAGTGAAAGTGAGAAAACAAGCTGCCAGATCTGGGACTCGAACCATGCTCAGCCATATGGGAGTGTCCAGCACCTCAACCACCACACCACCTGCTGGCCTTCTGACACTTAATTCTTCTTTGTCAAAATTATTTTAGCTATTTTAGTTCCTTTGCCTGTCCACAGAAATTTTGACAATAATGACTATCTACAAATAATTTTTGCTGTGATTTTGATAGAAATTGCCTTAAACATACATATTTGGAGGAGAATTCATTATCTTTATCATTGAACCTTCTAATCTATGAACATAGTATTTCTCGGCACTTATTTAGATCTTATTTGATTTTTTTCATCAATATTTTATAGTTTTCCAAACATAATCTCTATGTTTTCTTAGATTTATCCCTAAGTATCTCAATTTTTGAGCACCCATGTGTTCATCGTTAGTATATAAGGGGAATCTATGACCTTGCTAAGTTCACTTATATAGGAGTTTTTTATAGGTTCCTTGGAATTTTTTCCCCCCGTAGGGCATATGTACTTACCAGAGACAAATAGAGATGCAGGAAGTGAATAAGAAAGCAACCCTGGGGGAGTGGCTATACCACAATCTCTTCTCCTCCGTTCTCCTCTCAGGATTTTGGGAATGCATGCACACGTACTCGACATGTTTTTCAAGCCTCTGGGTCCAACACTCAAACCATTCAGTCAACCATGTGGGAGATCCAGTCACCCTAAACTCCACATTGTCTACTGGCCTATCTTTAAAACTTTTTTTTACATAAACCATCTTGTCATCTGCAAGTTGCAACCTTTTTTCCTTTTTTAATCTATAGGCTTTTTATTTCATTTTATTTCTTTTTAATGCTGACTAGAATTCTCTACGTTGGCTAGCAGTGGTCAGAGTACATATCCTTGCCTCTTCCCAATCTTAGGTGGAAAGCATTCAGTCTTTTACCATTAAGCCTGGTGCTAACCACGGGTTTTGGTGGATGGTCTTTATCAAGCTGGGAAAGTTATCCTCTATTCCTACTTTGCTGAGGATTTTTATCATGAACTGTATTGAATTTTATAAATGCTTTTTTCTATCAATTGATATGATTATGTGACTTTTCCCATTAGCCTATTCATATGGTAGATTACATGGATAGATTTTTCAAGTACTGAACCAACCTTGTATCCCAAGAATAAGCCCCACTTTGCCTATTGTATGATTATTTTTACGTGTTGCTGAACTGTTTTTGCTAATGTTATGAATTTTTTACATCTACATTTATGAGGGACATTGCTCTGTAGTTTCCTTTTTTAGTACTGTCTGTATGCTTTTGGGATCAGGGTGATACTGGCTTCATAAAATGAACGGGGAAGGATTTCCTTCTATTCTATTTTCTGGATGTGATTGGTGTTAGTTCCTTAAACATATGATAGTGTTTTCCAACTTTTGAAAAATAGTGATGCTGGGGACCCAATCTAGACCAAATAAATCTGAATCTCTGGGGCTTAGAGGATTTTCAAAAGCTCTTCAAATGAGCTTACATGCAACCAACCATCTGTGGAGTTCCAGTGTTGGTAATTGAGTTCTTGAGGCCAACACAAGAGTACACACAAAGTGGAATCTATCTGAAGAATGTCATGAATCAACAGCTGCGAGGCTGGGAGAATTCAGCTCTTTAGACACACCCCAGCAGCCTCTGATAACTTCATGACCCCATATGGTATAGAGGAGCCATTGGTCATATAACATATGTAGATCTGCCTCGGCCTTTTCATAGTCGTAAGTTCCTTACTTAGCAATTTCAGCTTTCTCACCTGTAAAATGCAACTCTTCAGTTGTTTTGACAATCAAATGAGATAGTAGACATGAAAATGCTTTAGAACTCACACAGCATTTTAGGATGCAAAAATGAGGGTTTCTGTGGGCCCCGGCTACCTGCTTATATATCATAATTCCCAACAAGGTCCACCGTGAAGTCAGCGAGTGAACTGGGACCTCAGCTGACCAGTTCCCTTGGACCGTGGAGAAACTTCCTGCACCCCTGCTTACATACCCTGGCCATGGAGTTTGGGCTCTGATGGGAGGAGGTAGGACCATGGTAATTATGAAGAGGACCTTGGCCTTGACCAGTGTCCCCCTCACCTTCTGTAGGAACATGCTTGCCAATTCAGCCAGCGTGCGGATTCTCATCAAAGGAGGCAAAGTGGTGAACGATGACTGCACCCACGAGGCTGATGTCTACATCGAGAATGGCATCATCCAGCAGGTGGGCCGTGAACTCATGATCCCCGGAGGTGCCAAGGTGATTGACGCCACTGGGAAGCTGGTGATCCCCGGGGGCATTGACACCAGCACCCACTTTCACCAGACCTTCATGAACGCCACATGTGTGGATGACTTCTACCATGGGACCAAGGTAATGCACTTGTTTTTTTTGAAAGATGGCTTCTCTTCTGGCTTCTTTATTCTGCGCCATCTGCTCCCCTGAAGCAGATTAGATCCACATGCATGAGCAGCTCCCACTGTATTGCTGACAGAAGAAGGATGTCCCCAGGGGCTACCATGTCAACTCACATAGGGATTTTCAGCTAAACGTCATAGATTTCCATGATTGTGGGAAAGGAAGCATTCTAGCCTATTTGGCTGATCATGTCACTTGCCCATGTACCCAGGGTGGGAACTGATTTGGTCTTTCCATTTTTATGTCACATAATATAGACCTAGAGGAAGAAGAGAGTTAGCTTGTGTATTATGTGTGGCTGGGGGTGGGGAGTTTAATGGACTACTTTATGTGTGCTAAGCTAAAATTAATCCCCAAGGACTGTGAAAAATTGTAGAGTCACCTGGATGATTTTAATGGTGGAAAAGCAATCTTCTATTATTTCTCCTAGCTTGTTCATTATCATTCAAAAACAGATTGAAAAGTATTGGTAGGGGGTTCTCTTTTTCAGAGCGAGTTAGCATGGACTATATTTAATAGTTACTGAGCTGGCCCAGAGCTACTGTATGGTCCTGAATGCAAAATACAAAAATTCTGAAATAAATCTGGAGACTACATTTTGCACAAAGAGCCACCAATGGGCCCTTCACCCTCCCTCCGTCCTCAGAAATCTCTTTGCTGCTGTCATCCCTCTTGATTGCAATTAACTGTCAGATGAAAACCTCCCCACACATCAGACTGGGTTCTTGAGGGCAAGGCCTGGCCATATTCCTGTGCTGTCCCAGAGCCTGGAACTGTTGGGTCGTCGGGAAAGTCATGACGTATTTCTATGCATAGAAAACTATGTCATGATTTTCCTGACAACCTAATAGTAGCAACCTAGTAAATACTCCTTGAAAGAGCAAATAAATGATGCCTATCCCTGTGGGTCTCTACATTTAGCAAACAGATTAATCTATGAAGATGTCTTGAAAGACAGAGATGAGTCAGAATTTCAAGGGACACAAGTCCCTGACCCTAGCAGTAACCCTTTGTTCTAATTTACGATGGACTTGGCCTCTATTGCTTTTGGGCTAAAGAGATTCACCTCTCCTAGCTTTGTGGCTGTAGTCCTGTGTCCTACTTTGGCCCACAGTCTCAAAGCCCCAATGCTCTTCTACCCTAAAATCCCACCTCACTCTACCTAGGGTTCTTAGGAAGCCCTCTCTCATGTTCAGGACCCTCCTCCAGATCCATTTTCCTGGGGGTGCAAGTGTTTCTTTCTTTCTTTCTTTTTTAAGAGAGATTTTTGTTATAGGGCATGTGCACTCACAGGAGAGACAGAGAGGCAGAAAACAAGAAATCACCCCTCGGGGAGATGGCCATGCCACAATCCTTTCTCCTTCATTCTCTCGGGATTTGGGGCACGCACACACATGCGCCCTGTGTGAGTTCCAAGCTGCCAGGTCCAGGACTCGAACTGCAGTTAGCCATGTGGGAGTCCGGTGACTTAACCACTGCACTATCTGCTGATCTCAAGTGTTTCTGTTGTTAGGCAGCAACTGATGGAACTCCCCAAAGTACTGGTGAGATTCAGCCTCCCAAAGAGCCTGCCTAGGGCTGCCAGAGTAGGCAGAGGCTGACCTTGGGGACATAGCTCCATGGGCCAGCCCATTTCAGGCAAACGGCCCTGAAGGTTTCCCTGGGACTATGTCTCCCTCCCAGCTGAGGGGCTGCAGGCCAGACCGTTGGAAGGCTGGGCTGGGCAGTCACCACATCCTCAGAGAGCTTGTGCTGAGGCAGGGAAGTTCCCTGGCCTCATCCTCTGTCCTCTGCAGCTACCCTGCCACTGCAGCTGAGTCCAGGGAAGAGAGGCAGTAGGTGGTCTCTGCCTACTTGCCCCTCTGAGGGTTTCCCCAGGCCATGCAAATGAGGCCTTGACCATGAAATGGGGAGTCCCATCCTCATAAACTCAGGGTCCTTTTGCAGAGTACCCTGGGGCAGTCAGGACCTCTCTGCAGTGAGTGAGTGCATGCAGCTCACCACGTCCATGCACAGAGCAGGTGAGGCCTGTCTCGTGTGTAGTTATGGTTGTCATTTTTGTTGGTATGGCAAACATCTGGAGACGCGCACACAGTGAGAGGACACAGGATTGTCACAGCCAAATGCACTCTCAGGCCGGTCTCCTAGTCAGACAACCAAACATTGCCGCACCCAGAAGGCCCCCAGGTGCCCTCTTCTAGGCACTGCTCCCACCAAAGATAACCACTATCCTCACTTCAAATACTACAGCTCATTTGTTTAAAAAAACAAAAAACAAACAAATAAAAACTTAATTGAGATAAAAGTGACATACCATACAATTCACCTAAGGTGCATGAGTTGATGTTTTTGCTTATTTGTTTTTAAGAGAGTTTTGCTATAGGGCACATACAGAGAGACAGAAAGCAAGAAATCACTCCCCAGTGGGATAGCCACACTACAATCCTGTCTCCATTCTCCTCTTGGGATTTTGGGAATGCACACACACATACCCTATGTGAGTTTCAAGCCACCAGGTCTGGGACTCAAACTGTGGTCAACCATGTGGGAATCCAGTACCTTAACCACGACTTGCTGGCCCGAGTCTGTGATTTTAGTATACTCATCACAGATTGGTCTTGACTGTAATTACTTTCCACAAATGAAATCAGATAGTGTATACTTGCATTGGCTTCTCAAAAATTCTATCAGTGAGTATCTGAATGGTTGCCAGTTTGGGTGTGTTACAGACACTGCTGCTATGAACATTCTGGTACATGTCTTTTGGCAAATGAGTGTGCTCACATTTTGCTGGGCCTATTTCTAGGAGTAGAATTGCTGGGTCACAGGGTCCATGTCCATTTGGCTTTAGGAGATACTGCCAAATAGCTTTCCAGACTGGCTGTAACAATTCACAGGCCCAGCAGTAGCGTATGAGAGGCCGCGGTGTTCAGAATAGGCATAGCTGGTGCCCTCACCAGTCCAGCTGGGGTCCTTTCTATAGCGCACTCTGGCCTCACGCCCAGGTTGAAGCTCGGTGCTGACTGCCCCTGCTATCTAGAGACCTTTAGTCTGAGACCAGATGCCACTGTCCCTCCCAACCAGCCTTGCAGAGGGCGAGCTGGCCTTCTTTCTTTATTTTCCACATTGTCATCTTCCAGGGCCTCATTAGCCAGAGGTGACAGGTTATCCATGGAACCCTTCGGCTCCTTACAGCCGATGAAGAGCTCTGTGCATGCAGCTTTGTACAAGGTGATGGGAGACTCTTGATCTTTTCCAGGCTTCTCATCCATTGGGGAAGCTGCTTCTAGAAAACATCAAAAGGTCTTGTGTAAGGAAAAGTCCCAGATCTCCCAGTTCCTACAGGTTTAGGCTGCCCCAGGTGCTTCCAAATTCATGGCAGGCCCTACGTAAAGGAACCATAGCCACCAAACCACCCCAGCTGCCATCATCATTGCAATTGGCACTCTTAAACAAGAACGTCCTGTATCCAGCCCGCTGGGCAGAGCCTGACTCAGTAGAGCAGTCCCTTGCTGGGTCCTGCCTCTGCCCTCCAGGCCAAGAGCAAATTTCTTGTACAGGAGCCTCCCCACCCCTCCGAGACAGCCCCTCCATGTTGTTGCTCCTGCAGCCCAAGACTCTGCCTTCCTATTTTCTCTAGTTCCTGAAAATCTCCTGGGGAGAGAAAATGCTCTCCTGAGGAAACACGGATCTGAGGACCTGTGGATTTAATTATTCACACCGCCATGGCTCTCGCTGCACCCTGATCCACCACGCTGACCTACTTAGTACACTCTAAGAAAGGCTGATTCTCTTTAAGCATCTGGGTTTATAATAGAATAATAATCCCAAGGAAAAGCTCACCCCAGTGATTAGCCAAGAGAGAAGGAGAGATCAACTTGCATCTTTTTGTTCTCATCAGACAGATCCTAGGGCCTCGACCCCTGTCCCCCCTGAGCTATTGCATGCTTGTCGATTTGGTGGCAGCAGCCAGGGCTGGGAAAACAAAACAGCTGAAAGCCCGGCTTTTCCAGGAGCATCTGGGTCTCCATTGTACTCGGTCTAAAGGGATTTCTCTCTAGCATGCATTTAACAGCCTCCTCACCAGCCTTTGCTCTTTCAGAGGCTGTGGCTGGCTCTGCCTGGCTCCCTGCTCACAGCCCGGTCACTTGATCCTCCTTTCTGCCCCAGGCACCACCTCCTTCCATACCCTCCAACCTGCACCACCACCCCCACCCCCACCAGAGCCCAGAACTACTATGTCCGGAAAGTGCCAGGACCCCATTCAAGAAGGAAGTTCTCTCCTGTGGGGAGACTGGGACAGTGAGGAGGGAGAACTGGTGACACTGACGGTGATGAGAAAGGTCTAGGATTTCAGCTGAGTCACGGAGTTGTTTGATTATTCTGCTTAACTTGCGTAGAACTTCTGTTTATTCTCTGTTCCGTCTCTGATATTGCTTCGTAAAGGATATTCGTACAGCCTTTGTGTTCCACTCACCCCGTGGTTCTCCACGGCCAGGTGAAAATACCAGCATCGGGATTTTGTGTTTTTGTTTTTTGCCAGAGTATGTGTCAGAGAGAGAAAGCACCTCCTAATCGGGGGTGGTCATGCACAATCCCTTCTCCACTTCTGCGTCCTGTCGGGATCTGGGGCACACACACATGCTTCTGGCATGTCTGTAAACCATCACAGCTGGGATTCAAACCACGCGAGTGGCCATGTGGGATGTGATCCCCTTAACCAGTAAGTGACAGGGCTGGCTTTTATCGGGTTTTTAAAACTACGGGAACCGGCCCCTTCACCGAGATGTCGATAGAGGGAGCAGGCATGGACGACTGACAAAAGCTTCCTAGATGCCTTTTTTGCCTCTCTCAAAAAAAAATTTTTTTTGAGAGATTTTGGCTATAAAGTGCATGTGCTCACCGGAGACACAGAAAGAAAGTGAGCAATCATCACCCTGCGGAGGGGGGATGAC